CCCTTGGAGTGCTCACCCCCAGACACTGCGGCGAAGTGTCCGTAAACCTGTCTGAAATCGGCAGGATGGCTCACACATCAGGTAGCTGTAGTAAATCATGGGTCTTGGTAGGTTCTTTGTCGGTGGCTTTGGGCTATTAAACAAGGAAACGAGGTTCAGAATAAGGCCGAATGAGCAAGAATAGTGCCTTTGTGAGTCAAGCGAACTGCACCTATATAATGCGATCTGCCCCAGAGGCCCCACAGAGTTTCGCAAGCCCGGGCGGTCCTGACCATGTGCACGAACTTGTTCCTGAGACTCACACAATTAACCCCGGGCTCGGTGATTTTGGTTTAGGGTTTAGGGTGTAGGGTTTACAGGGTACAGGGTTTAGGGTTTAGGTTTAGGGTTTAGGGTCACACGCTGAACTTCCATTCCGCACACCCTGGATCCAAGAAGTTCATAGGCGCGAGATTTAACCAGGCAAGCGTGGCATCTCCAGCATCAAGGGGGCGACGGAGGTTTCGGAGAATCGGCGGCAAAGCCACTAGGATGTTCTCACATGACTTAGGGTTTAGGGTTTAGGGTTTAGGGTTTAGGGTTTAGGGTTTAGGGTTTAGGGTTTAGGGTTTAGGGTTTAGGGTTTAGGGTTTAGGGTTTAGGGTTTAGTATCCTGTCAAGCGTCATGGCCACCGGGCTCTCCAAAGCAGTGCTGGCAAGCATGACCTCCAGGCACTGGGTTTAGGGTTTAGGGTTTAGGGTTTTGGGTTTTGGGTTTTGGGTTTAGGGCTTAGGGTTTAGGGTTTAGGGGTTTAGGGGTTTAGGGGTTTAGGGGGTTTAGGGGTTTAGGGGTTTAGGTTTAGTTTAGGGGTTTAGGGGTTTAGGGGTTTAGGGGTTTAGGGGTTTAGGGGTTTAGGGGTTTAGGGGTTTAGGGGTTTCGGGGTTTAGGGGTTTAGGGGTTTAGGGCAGCGCCCTGCTTGGTACGCTGTCTCCAGGGTAGTCTTGCATAACCTACTATGGTTCCTCGTAGAGAATGAGGGAATTCCTACATCCCCCTTAGCTATAGGGTACCATAGGGTACCTAGCCCTAAACCCTATGCCTTAACCCCTGGCGTGCGGGCCTTAACCCCTAAGCCCCTAGACCCCTAAACCCCTAAACCCCTAAACCCTAAACCCTAAACCCCCAAACCCTAAACCCTAAACCCTAAACCCCCAGAACCGGCCAGTATGGACTCCAAGTGCCATCTTCTGACTGTGCCGGGTGTTTGCCATCTGTCGGATGTCGGTGCCATAGGGTTTAGGGTTTAGGGTTTAGGGTTTAGGATTTAGGGTTTAGGGTTTAGGGTACTGCTAACTGCTAGCATGGACGCAATCATCGCGCGACCTGGATGCTCTTTGGCCATTCGCACGCACTAGCGACATGGACGTATCCATCGCGCGGGCATGGATGCTCCCGAAACCTTAGCCTAAACCCTAAACCCTAAACCCTAAACCCTAAACCCTAAACCCTATAAACCCTAAACCCTAAACCCTAAAACCTAAACCCTAAACCCTAAACCTTAGCCTAAACCCTAAACCCTCAACCCTACTTCCCCCATTCCCTCCTAAGAACCCGGAGGTCTTGCGTAGGAGATCCCGAGGATCCCGGCAAGTGAGCGCTGGTGTTCAGCAGCGAGGTGACAGTCAATAATCTCCGGATTCCTCGACATGGAAAGGCTTCGGGTTTAGGGTTTAGGGCTTAGGGTTCACATACAATCATGTCGCCCAAAAAAGGTCGTTGCTGATACGCGCCTTGTTCACACACTCCTTACCTTTTCTCACTTTATCAGGAAAGCCGCGAACCGAACCGCAAACCGGAACCGAACCGCCCGGAACCGCACGCGCGAAGGAACCGTGTGAACCGTGAACCACCGAAACCGCGACAAACACGAACTGCCATGGAACCGAACCTGAAGCCAAGATCGTAGCAACCCCCCCCCAACCAGCCCCTCCAGCCTGGAGGGGCTGGGGGCTGGGAGGGGCTGGAGGGGCTGGAGCGGCTGGAGGGGCTGGAGGGCTTGGAGGGGCTGGAGGGGCGGAGGGCTGGAGGGGCTGGAGGGGCTGGAGGGGAGGGCCTGAAGGGGAGGGGCAGGCGGAGGGGTTTGGGAGGAGTGAAAGGGGCTGGAGGGGTTAAAAGGAGGGGCGGCCGGGGGCAGGTGGGGGTGGGGTTGTTTGGCTTGGGGGCGGGGGGGGGGTTTGGCACACCCGAACCGAACCGAACCGCAAGCCGCAGCGAACCACATGAACCGGAACCGTTCCAGACTATGTACCCCGAAACCGAAACGAACCTACACGAACCGTGGCCTTACTGCTTTATATATTTTTTATATCATAACTGTGAGCGACCGAAAGAACCGCACGAACTTAGCTTAACTTTGAGACAGGATGTTGCACGAGGAAATCATTTGTAACGCTAAAAAGAGCTGGGTGAGGTGAACGCGTGAACTGTAAAGTTGCAAGTGAACGAACCAGTCAAGTTGGGGGCTTTTCCACCAACATTTATAGGCTTTTGTATGATTATTCGCGCGCTCCTTGCAAACATAATAAAGCCCGTTTAATATTAGGAGAAGATACCGGTGAACAAAGGCTTGGATCTCTGGGTCAGCAGCACACAGTTCGTTCACATTAAGAATGGTTTTCATGCTGTTCACTCGTTCCTTACACTATTTCTTACGACAATGAAGAGAACATTAACCGCTTGGAGGTTCATGGTACTTATAACCCAATTGTAGCTGTACTTAAAAATTGACCACTTATAAGCCCTTTAAGTGCCCTAATATGGATGGAATTGGGTTATAAGTACAGTTATACGTGGGTCATGAAGTACCATGACCTTCCAAGCAGAGACCGCAACACTGTGAGCCAAAGATCGGAAGCTCTGACGTGAACTCCTCGATTTCACTGGCTGCAGCTATCCGAAAAAGAGCTGGACCTGACGAGGACACTTGTGATGGAAGATGCTCGAAACCTTGGGGCTTCTAGGGTTTAGGATTTGGGGTTTAGGGTTTAGGGTTTAGGGTTTGGGGTTTAGGGTTTGGGGTTTAGGGTTTAGGGTTTGGGGTTTTTAGGGTTCAATGCCGAGCTGCCTTGAACAAGGATCGTTCCGAGCAGGAGCAGGGACAGGGTACCGGTGGCAATCCTGAGGACTCTTTCTGTGGTTCGGACGTGGTTTCGTGACTTCTCTGCGGCTTTGCTCATCCGAGCACATCGACTACAGCAAATTTGATGGTCGTGCAGGAGTTTTTCTTCGCCCGGCCTCAATGCGGAAGATACGGAGGATGCAGCATGCCCTCAGATCATGGTGATTCCGTGCTTTTTCGGATTCAATGGCACGAAGCTTCACCCCCTCTAGCAAAAACGAGCTCGTAGCCGTAAACCCTTGCGGAAGCCAGATGAAACCCGAGCTGCTCGGAGGTTCATGGTACTTACTAACTCAACTATATCTGTACTTATTTATATCCCACTTATAAGCCCCTTAAGTGCCCTAATATGGTGATAACTGGGTTATAAGTACAGTTATATCTGGGTTAACAAGTACTGGTACCATGAGCCTCCAAGTGAGGGCCCTTTAAACTGCGCATCGGGACTTGCACAGATTTACCAAAGGCCGTCCCAAGACGGCGGAAGTCAAACAGGGGATGTAGTATGGGAGGTTTAGGGTTTAGGGTTTAGGGTTTAGGGTTTAGGGTTTAGGGTTTAGGGTTTAGGGTTTAGGGTTTAGCAGGTCCAGCGTTCCACACGAACGCTGACCAGCAGCATGCGAATGCTGGCCAGCAGTGGACGAGGCTGACGAGGCTCGATGGGATTGCAGTGGCGTTTCTTCTTGGCTGCGCGCACGCGTGCCGGCCAGCGGCACGACATTCAATGACTCAATGTCATATAGCTGCCATTGCCACATGCCAAAGACGCGCGGCGGCAAGATCAAGATGTCAATGCTTGCTTGGGCGGGGTCTGATATGCCCTGATTTGAGCATGACATGATATGGTCTGCTTTGTTTGTAAACTCTGAACGCCAATATGGGCATTTCCCAAAATAGGGGCCCCCCTTTTATACCCCAAATAGAATAGAATCCCCTTAAAGGGACCCCCAAAAAGGGTACCCCTAAACCCTAAACCCTAAACCCTATTTTCGGAAATCCCCATGTCAAGGCTGATGCGAAGGCAGGTGCCATCTCGTGACCCCCCTAACGACCCGAGGCCTGCAAGAGCCAAGACCAAAACATGGATTGGTTCGGACGTTCCCCATATATTCTTATTGGTTTAGGGTTTAGGGTTGAGGGTTTAGGGGTTTAAGGTTTAGGGTTGGGATGTTCCCCCTTATACTAACAGTCCTTAATCGGAATAATAATAGGGGGTACTGAAATCCCCATTAAGGAGGAACATCACAACGGATTGTTTTCGAGGGTCCAGGGTTCCAAAGACAACGCCAGCAGTCTGCTGGCATGTGCGTGTGTTAGCGCGCTCTACTACCAAAATCAACCACAGGCAAAGCCTTTTTCTCTGCGAATCAGGTCTAAGCCAGCCAATCTGTGGCTGTTCACATCTCGGGGTTTATCACCCCCCATGCGTACAACATGGATGGAACATGCCGGCGAACTTCCACCACCTTCACATCTAGCGAACCCCTAGACTACAGTACTAGCACCCCAGTGCAGCCCACACATCTATCTCACAGAAACAACTGCAGAGAGTCTAGTCGCTGAGGCGTAAGACGTCGTAGGACATGAGCATGACAAGACTTCAAGCTCTGCAATTGTACACGAAAATTCTGGGAGGCATGGCGAGACATGCCTTCAAGACTTTGGCTGCCAGCTCAGCAACGTCTAGCTGGGTTCAGCAGTTTTACACAAGCATAACTCACGAGCCCGAGCCGTTTGAAAGAGCCCCTAGACCACGATTCAGATCATGATACCTTGACAGCTATCTATATTTATATATGTATATGTATATATATATATGTATATGCATATATATATATAGAGCTACGCAGCCATCTTGTCCATCTCCTCCTTTGAGAGCTCACCATCCATGGCCTTCCGCGCCTTGCCAGAACAGGCTTTGCTTGGAGGTTCAGGGTTTAGGGTTTAGGGTTTAGGGTTTAGGGTTTAGGGTTTAGGGTGCCATAACCCCACTTCTCGCCCCATAAAGCTGCACTTATTTTCGGCACTTATAGCCTTACAAAGGCACTTATGTTTAGCACTTAGAGCCTTATAAAGGCACTTATTTTTAGGCCCCTCAGTTTTGACTGTAGGTTCGAAGCAGGCTTATCACTTGTGACTGCACTTATTTTCCCCCCCTAAGTCCTCTCAGTAGGTTCTGAGAACTGGGGTTCGAAGTACCCAGGAACCTCCAAGTAGGGGGGATGAAGGACTCGGTCCATGGTCATGATGCGCCTGATCTGCATACTCTGAGAATTGCTCATTTCCCGGTTGCCACTTCAACGCCGTGTTCAGGGTGCGGACCTCGGTGCACATGCGTGCTCAAGCTATCGAGCTTGTCACCATAGAAACAGATATTGGGCAGTTTCGGACCTTCGGATGTAGGAAGAACTAATTTTTGGGTGTGTAGTCAAGCCACGGCGACATCAAATCGTTTTCGCTTCATCAGCTCTTTGCCAATGTTGATCAACGCCTGCCGTTGCAGGTGGCTGAACTGAGCCCCGCAATCTGGGACGAAAGGTAGGCAGAAGCGCCTCCGGATATTCAGGCCAATACCTCGGCACCGAAATCTTTATCCAAGTTGCCCATCCTCTACCCCTAAACTTGTAAATATTAAACGAGCTTCGCAAACGTGCCACCCTACACGCAGAAGGGTGATGCTGGGACAGGGGCGTCACTGCCCGGACGAATTCTCGTCTTGCTTGGGCAGTTCGTGGTGGCTCCAACTTCATCAGGGCAAAGCCTGCCAAGCAGAGCATGAGTCACCTCCTAAAGTAGCCCTGCTCTGTTGTAACTGCTAGTAGGGACTAATTGTATTCGTTGAAGTACAAGAACAATGGCTTGTAACTGTAGACACGATCTCATTTATGACGTGAATAGATTCATAGGGTTGTGTCCTTAGGAATTCGATATCCGATCTCACAAATTGGTTTGACTACCATCCTGATAACTTGATGTCAAGTATAAACATTGAACAAATTATGCTGAGGCCAGTGATAGTGGAAGAGAAAGAAGGAGCCCTCTGCATCCGGGGGTTTACGATATTAGGTGCTACCTTGTCATTTTTTTTTTTTTGGGGGGGGGTTCTGTATTAAGGACCCCTTGTTTTCGTAAACCCTCATTTCGTACATAAGACTTACATAGTGCAATCGCTACAACTGACCTCCCAGTATCTAAACGTGTTGTTCTATGCATGCTACTCATGAATGTACTGAAAACACTGCTTCGTCTAAATTTGAGACCATTTGCTAGTAGCTGGGCCGCACGCACATGTTGCCGTGTATACACATACCTATTGCACCACATATGAGGGCTTACGAAATTAGGGGTGCCTCACTGGGGTCCTTGTTTTAAGGGAGTCCTACTATTTGGGGGTCCATTTTGGGGTCCCCTATTTTCGTAAACCCCCATATGATTCGCGGGCATGGGGGTTCAGGCTCGCAGCGCCTTTGCTATTGTGGAGTTGGGCACGAGCCGCCAGAGCTCCCATGGCATCCTCGGAGGGCTGAATAAGAAGAGGGCTCAGGGATGAGGGTGTAGGGTTTAGGGTTTAGGGTTTAGGGTTTAGGGTTTAGGGTTTAGGGGAGCTTACGGGGATTAGGAGCTTATAGGGTTTAGGAGCTTATGGGGTTTAGGAGCTTACAGGGATTTAGGAGTTTAGGGTTTAGGAATTTAGGGCTTAGGGTTTAGGAGTTTGGGGTTTAGGGGTTTAGGGGTTTAGGGGTTTAGGGGTTTAGGGGTTTAGGGGTTTAGGGGTTTAGGAGTGTAGGGTTGAGGAAATCAGGGCTTAGGGTGTAGGAGTTTGGGTTTAGGAGTATTGGGGTCTAGGGAGGACCACACATACCGGCCTAGTAGTTGGGCTTTGCCTTTGGGAGTTCGGGTTCAGGGGTTTCGGGTGTAGGGTTTAGGGGTTAGAGTTTAGGGTTTAGGGTTTGAGTTCGGGTTCAGGGGTTTCGGGGACGAAGGGCACCGAAAGATGCCTCAAGACGTCCAAGTGTCCTCGGAGTCCAAGCTGTATCGCACCTCATCAAAATCCTCCTCGACTTCTTCGAACCTCTGCGCGCTTGCACTCCACGCTGTTCAGCCACACTGTTCAGAACATGTGCAATGTAACTCATCTCCAACTCTTGCAGCAAGAAGGCTCTGCCAGAGCACTGGGAAAGTCTTTGAGTGAGTTGTACCTGGTAGAAGCATGGGTGCGGAGGCAGCACCACATGTCCACACGGCTGCTTGCTAAAGAAGAGTATGCTGGGGCATGGCACATGCACCCAAGCTTGAACTGGTCAATGGGAGTGACCTCAACTTTCATGGCCAAGCCAACTCGAGTCGACTGCACTGATCTGCCCGAACTGTGTGCCTGAAAATCCCGAAGTCATGCGTGCTACTTCTACCGTACCTGTAAACATAGGCACAGCTGCATGTCTCCAGCGAATCAACCCCGGCAGAAGAGTCGGTCCGCAAAACAAGTACTTGCCCTGTGGGTTTTCTGACGGAGTGAGGGAAATTAGGTGGCCCTATCTGTGGCCCTATAGAAGCCTGTAAAGGGTATTGTTAGGGAGATATAGGGGCACCCACTTCTCTCATTCCTTACAATCAGTTGGTTGGATGCAATCCATGGGCATGCTATGAGCATGTGCGGGAGACTTCTCGGACTGCGTATGGCGGACTGAAGCAAACTGAACCCTTCGGCGCCATGAAGCCGCGTTAGCGTTAAGTTGCTTCAAGCCCTGGCAATGATTTCGCGTTTCATATTGTTTCATGACACCCCTGGCCTCCTTCTCTTGGGTGATGAACTTCAGCTTCTGCCTTGTTTCAGACGACAATCCGGAATCTTACGAGCCAAGCGCAACCCAAGAAAAGTTGCAAACAGCACTGAATCCTGCCAAGGCTCGCATTGATTTTCTCAATCAACCAACGCTGTTCCCAGTACGGCTTGGTAATCAAGAACAGGGCCACCTCGCTGCTGGCAAGGCGCAACTTCTCGGACCATCTAATACCATCTATTTCCCAGGTCAGCCACAAGACAGGGCGAGATCTGGCTGCTTCTTCGAAGGGAATGAGGGAAGGAGGTACCCCAAAATAATCCCTTAAAGGGTATACATAGGGGCCCTACTTCCCTCAACTCCCTACTACGAGCCGGGGGGGGGGCAGATGGTTTAGGGTTTAGGGTTTAGGGTTTAGGGTTTAGGGTTTAGGGTTTAGATCGGCTCTTGCAACCCAAGGCTCCGCCACAATGAGGACTGAGACGACGATGTAGGTCCAGAAGAAAGGGTCGACCCCGTATTTCTCCGTAGGCAGCAGCTTCCTGGCAGAGGCCGCCATTGATGGGTCGGAGACTCTTTAGGGTTTAGGGTTTAGGGTTTCGGGTTTCGGGTTTAGGGTTTAAACCCTCAACCCTGGTCCATCCCTGGGGGGATCATCAGCTCAGCAAAAAAGGGAGGCAAACGAACGCTTCCAGGGCAACACTTCACAAGTCCGAGACGCGAATTGATGGTGCCATCTGCTGCAAGTACCTGGAAATGACCCCGTGGTTCTTTGTAGGGAATGAAGGAATTAGGGCCCTCTATATACCCTTTTAAGGGATTACATAGGGTACCTCAACCTCATTCCCCCATGCACTACTAAGAACCAGCCAGATGAATGGCGACATGGACACAAGAGACAGGGGATGCCCGCGAAAAACCTCGGCACGCCATTTGGAGTGATTTGGCGTGCGCCCTGGCGCCTACACCCACGAAACATCCCTGAACCCTAAACCCTAAACCCTAAACCCTAAACCCCTGTGGCTGGCCAAGGGACCAGCTGCCCCAGATCGGGTGCAGGTGTCTGCGCATGCCTAGACAAAGGGATTGTTCTACGCACACTAAGTCAGGCTCCTTCTGGGGACCTTTCTTATATGGGGGTTTCCGAAAATAGGGGTACTTCTTCTATTTTTTTTGAGGGGGGGGTTCCTTTAAGGGATTCTACTCCATGTTGGGGTCAAAACGGGGTACCCCTACTTTGGGGAAGTACCCATATGGGAGGCTATGATCAACGATACCTGTATATATATATATATATACATGTATATGAACTTATACATATACATATACATATACATATATATGTATATATGTATATATGTATCGACTTCAGAGGTCAGAGCACCCCCCGCATGACGCCCCAAAGCATCATTCCGGGCCTGAGAAGTTCACCACCTGGGTGGGGCTCGCAGCGTACGCAGAAAAAACATCTGTCATGATTGCCCGAACAGCTGTAAAGTTCCGGGCGTCTCTCTTACCCTAGGGGCCCAAGCCCACTAAAGTCTTTGGGCCCCAAAACAGATGAAAGGTTTAGGGTTTAGGGTTTAGGGTTTAGGGTATAGGGTTTAGGGTTTAGGGTTTAGGGTTTAGGGTTTAGGGTCTTTGGCCCTTAGGGTTAAGCGCAAGCTATAGCGGTACCACGGCCAAGCGGAAGCATGAATTGCCGCACCTGCTTGCGGAGCGAGGAAGCATCGAGTAGCGCCGGCTGCCAACAGCAGCGCCTTGTTCTTACTGTTGGTCAGCAGGGAATGGGGGGAGTAAGGTACCATACATCCCCTATATACCCGTTAAGGGATAAATTTCTGGTACCTTATTCCCCCTTCCCTCCTAACCCAACAGCAAGCGTTTCAAACCAGAAGTGCAGCAAGCAACTGAATTGTGTCACGGCATTGCCGGACGCTGCTGAGTTCTGCACCGCAGCACCGCGGCGAGCCACGCGCGACATGCTGTTAAAACCCTGAAACAGCTGCATCAGAAGTGGACGAACCTCAAGCCTTTTCATGGCCCTCCCCTGATTCTTGGGAGCCCAAAAAAAAACTGATCTTTGTTCGGGCAGCTCAAGGGTTGTCAGGGGTGAGTAGCATCCAACTCCACCTCCGCATGCGCAGTTGGACACTACTCAGATCTTCCAAAAACCCCTTATAGAAGGAATATACCCTAATTTCAAGGATCCTCAGTATAAAGTAAGGTATATTCCTTACTGAAGGGGTTTTGGAAGATCTGGGTAGAAAACATGGGGCTTGCACCTGTCCGCTTGCAATCGCTTGCAGAAGGGTATACATGACATGGGAAGAAGTCCCTCACCTATAAGCATTCCAAAGCCCTACTCAAGAGAGTCAGAATCTTTACTTTCAATGCTTTAGATTCAGAAAACCAAAACCCAATTTCTCATTCGCCGCAAAAGTTCGCCATGAGGCACATGCGCTGAGGGAGGTAGGTACTTAGGGTAATTACAAGTCGTCGCCAAGGTTTGCCATCAAGAGATGCGCTGTACGAGTAGGGAGTCAGTAGGGCGGGGGTGGAAAGGAAAAAAAAAACCTCGGAATATTTCTGCTTGCAGTGCTGCTCTGGATGCACTGGCTTTGGTGATCTGCGTTGGGAGGTCAGTCGGGGGCGCACCCCCATGTGTGCTTCCTGACGCCGCATGATCCGCGCGAGCCGCCAATCCACCATGTGAGCCGCATCTTATCAAACTCAGCTCATTTTCCGAAAATGCTCCTGTGCTGGTGAAACATATCGGGGTCTACCGAGAAGCCCATCTGCGGCACATCGCTTTGCGAGATTTTACTGCAACCTTGCTCGGAGAACCTTCAGGGTCAATGCCACCTCAGTCGCTCAGAGGGTTTTGGGTTTAGGGTTTAGGGTGGCATGGTCGTATCAAGGCGAGAGAAGCTACCAGTGGGCCTGCAAGCGCTGATCCTCGTTCAAGAAGCTCAATTCCAGTGCTTCCCTCAAGGAGATGAACATGCGCAGCGCAGACTAGAGACGGGGTTTTTTGGGGTTCCTTTACAGGGATTATAGATAGTAAATTAGGGCTATATACGGGGTACCCCTATTTTCGGAAATCCCCGCATGGAGCTGTCAAACCGAGCATTGGAATCCACAGGCCTGCACAACGCATCACTAAATCGCAGTATGAGGCTGTCTTGGCTGGCTCCAAAGCTGATATCCACAACCTGCCGCCGGGCAGCACAAAACATTCTGCGAATACTATAATATAGTAAAACACAAAAAACTAGAGCAATGTACTAGTTATAGGTACAAACATATTTTCACATGATAAAATAAGAATATACTGCGCTCCGCCTGGCTCAGCGGCGCTCGCGTCTGCTGCCCTAGGTTCGTGACCAACACTCAACGCAGATGGTCCTTCTGCCATCCTTCTGCCTGCACCCGCCTTCTGATCCCAGGTGCAGTTCCAACGTCTTGCAGTCCTGTCGTACTTCGCGGGATGACGAGCTAGAACACGCTATACAAAATCGCAGCACGACCTGGGAGATGACCAGCTTATGCTCCACATCCTGCAGCAGAAACTTACTTCTCAAAAGGCAGCGTTGCACATCGTGACTCTTCTGCCTGATGCGGAAGCCGAACAGGAACTCCGATTGCCAGCACTTGCAAGGTTTGATCCTCGAGATTCTTGAAATCGGGAACTCAGGCATCTGTGGCAGTTCCCCCAAATTAAACCCTAAGCCCTAAACCCGAAACCCTAAACTTGAATCAGAGCCTTCTCAGGCCCGGGCGACCACGCGTTGAGCCTGTCGGCGCGCGGCTGGCTCCGTTGAACCCCGTCAGCTTCCCATGAGGTTTTAAAAGAATCCAGTCGCGTCACGACATGTCATCGCGACACTTCCGATTCAGCCAGAAACCCATGAATCCATCACCCTAAACCCTAATTAACTGCAAAGGTCCCTGATGATCCCCGATACGAGTAGGAGGTTGCCTGCTGAAGCTGCTTCTTGCTTTGGGTCGGTGTCCACCTTACGCGCCAGATGCAAGCGTCTGCGATCCCTTCATGTACTCGCGCAGCTTCTTAGGCTGCCACGAAGTCGTCTTGACCCTGACACAGCTGCTGGGCCAGTAGGGGCATTCTCTCTGCTAGCATCAGTGGCAATTTCTCTCGAAACCCTAAACCCTAAACCCTAAATCCCAAACGTGCAAGGATGGCTCGTGGAAGCCCTTCATGCTCCGAGTGCTTTCTTTCGAGCCTGCGCCGCCCACGTGCAAGGAAACATGGCATCGATGGCATCTTCTGAGGTCCAGGCACTGCTGGCTACAAGCAAGGACCTGAGACACATGAAGTAAGGTTTATATTTCTTGTAACCCCCAAAAGGACACCAAATATGTACACTCACCAAGATTGAAAAGGTTCATAAACCCTGTTTCATATGAAGTAAGTTGAGACAAGTGCGTTTCTAACTTTCAACTCGTAACAAGGATGCAAAGCTTCGTCGGTTCGCTTGACGAAGGAACTGCGAAAGGCCCAAGCAGCTTCTGCGCGGCAGTCGCCGGTCGTCGGCCTGCTGAGAAGCGAGCACCGAAACAACCCCAATAAAGGAAACCGTTTCTGGGCACCCAAAACTCTCTCTCTCTCTCTTTCTCCCTCTCTCTCTCTCTCTCCCTCTCTCTCTCTCTCTCTCTCTCTCTCTCTCTCTCTCTCTCTCTCTCTCTCTCTCCCTCTCTCTCTCTCTCTCTCTCTCTCTCTCTCTCTCCTGGTGAATCAGCCAAATTGTCTCAGCGATACCATAGAGACGCTGTCACGGGAACTAACCTCCTTCAGTGGCTGCTGCCTCCGTCAACCCCACAGGAAACTCTAAACCCCAGGCATACCTGAATATATCGTTTCATTTTATTCTATGATTCCAGTATTCTGGTGATCTGGTATTCTAGTATGATGGAATTCCAGTATTTTGACATGATATCATGATGCTATGCTGCTATTGTAATACTATAAAAATGTCGTATTGCAGAGTGATGGGATCATTTTTGTATGAGCGTATTATGGCACTACAGTATTAGAGTATTGCAGCATCATAGTAGTATAGCCGGATATTATACTAGTATTTTATACGATTTGATCCTGAGCCAGCCTGGCAGAGCTTGAAGCGCTGTTGGCACATGAAGTGGCAAGCCCTGGGCAGCATGGCTGAGAAGCCAGAGCGCCAGGGTTTACAGTTCAGGGCTCCGCCGGGGCTCCGCCCTTAGGGTTTAGGGTTTAGGGTTTAGGGGTTTAGGGGTTTAGGGTTTAGGGATGAGGGCTTAGGGTTTAGGCAGGGTTTCGGGGTTAGGATTCAGGCACTCCGCGAGGGCGGAAAGGAGAGCACAGGATTCTCCGATGACAAGCAAACAAAGACCAAGGAGCCTCCAGCATGGATGTGCTCGGTAATAGTAGGCGCTTTGGCCGACATAAGGACATGTATAATACGTCATACAAAAAATACGATTTTTATTAACACAGCATATTATATTTAATATTCACATTCAAGAGTGCTTCCAGCCGATTTGAGAATGGCGAAAGTG